TATCCTTAGCTAAAAAAACGCTAACGTAAACGCAAACCTTTCCGTACTTCGGATCGTTCAAGCTGACTTTTCCCTTAGCACAAAGTACGTTATAGTTGAGACGAAGTAGTCGTGACAACCATGGCGATATGAATTTTCGTGGAAACAGATACGGGAAATTCAAAATTTTGAACCAGGGATTAGTTTGTTGTCGTTCCGAAAGAATACCTTGGCGAGGTCTTTTACTCTGGAATGGCAAAAGCACGGCGAAAATGAGTTTTCGCTGTTCCCAGGTCCTTGGAAACCCTTTCCTAAACGCAGCACCGAAGACTGTAAGGGTTCTCCAGCTCCAGCACGTCTGGGAGAGGCCGATGAATTTCTTCAGTCCTCAGGAGTGCCGTGGAACTGGTCCTTTGTTTCCCAGATGGGATAGAGGGAGAAAGGCACGAAGCAGAAAACGCAGAAATTGTCAACTGAAAGGCAAAACTCGCCAAAAAAGCTAAATGTCACAAGAGGAAGCAATCTCGACTCTCGATCTCATCTCGATCTCATCTCGATCTGTACGACGTGCTTTTTATCTCCCGCCAGTTACAAAACAATGAGAGTTTTTGCATTTTTTGCAGAATTTCCATAACGAACGTCGGCCCGTTATTTTGAGCTCTGTAACGTTTTTCCGTTATCCGATAACGTCTTTTGTCACGGCTGGGAGTGAGTACCGTAAAAGTTAGCGTTATCGTACTTTTGCTAAGGATGTCTAATGGAACGCTCTTGCTGACCAGGCGCCATGCGGTCTGCGAGGGCCGGAAGTAGGTGCTCGCTGATGCATGCTTCCAGTGGGGAAAAGCTATCCGCAGTGTTGGGCACGGCTCGGTCTAGGAACGACCATTTGTGGCGCAGTCCATGCGTGAAGGCCGCATACGCTGCTTGTGGCTACGTCATGGCAAATGTGGTTAGGGTCTGGACTTCCTGGCACCACTGGGCAACTTTGTCATCTGTTTTATGCCTGGCAGAAGGCAGGAGTGCCTAATGCTGCACCAAGGTGTCGGTCGCCATCCGTCTTCACTATAATGTAGGTGTCGCCAAAGAGCTCCTGGGTCTGCGTAGCGTGATCCTGCTTCACTAGGAGAACGGTTTTCCTAGCGTTCGGGAAGTATTCATACGAAGGGTCATGGGGTGCGAGGGCCCCGGGACCCCCCAGAGTTTGACCTTTGACCCCTGGCATGCCATAAATGTCATCCTTAAGGTTCTTTTCGCCATAGATGGCGAACGTGCACTTGTGCACGTTCGGTGCATTCGCACCGGGGAGTAGTAAAATACGTACTATCCCCTGATTTGCACATCGTAGATGTACATTGCATGCAGTGACATATTGCGCATGCGTGCATACGCACGCGGAGCGTGTGACCTTCAGTGGTCCTATGCGTGTGGAAAAGACGCAGTGCAACACAAGGTGTACTAGTACACGTGTCATTATACTACTCCCTGATTCGCACTTCGTAGATTTGCAGCAAACAAAGTTCACGTTCTGTGCATTCGTTTTATTCGCACATCGTCGATGTGCACTGATTGACAAGTTGCCCATGCAGAGCATGCCTAATCGGCTTTTCGATCGGTTAAGAGAATGTTCAAATTCGGCCATATTATGAGCCCCAAGATCAGAATTCGGCTCAACATTTAGAAAAGCGATCCTGTCAGCTTTTCTATTATTGTGTTCACATGGCAAGAAAAACGACACCGCTATGCTACGTAAGTTTCTACGTAAGGTGCTCGGTATTTCACTTAGGCTACGTAAGTCTCTACGTAAGGTGCTCGGTATTAGATCTACCAACGGGTGGTAGCCGCGTGCTGTGCACGTGCCCGGCAGACATTGTGTTGCAGTGCATGCAGTCCGTGTTTGGATGTGCATGCGCGAGGAACTAATAATGAATTTATATTACTTTCTCCTTTGGAACTGCTTCTTGTATGAGCTGTTTCGGATATTTCGTCTCCTGGCCTGGCTTATTTCGTTTCGGCGCTGCTGAGACCTCCTTTCGCGGAATATTACTCAATGACAGGTGAGTTGACCAGTTCCCTTTGATTCATTTGCTTGTGCTGACTCTTTCATTTACGAAAAGTGTGCTGATTTTGGGCGGAATGCAATAAATAATGGAAAAGCTGACAGGATCTCTTTTCTAAATTTAGCTTTTCCGCTGCCGAGGCCTCCTTTTACGGAATACTCGATGACAGGTGATCTCTGAGTTGACCGGTTTCCTTCGATTCATTTGCTTATGCTCACCCTTTCATTTACGGAAACGTGTGCTGATTTTATTCGGATTTAGATCCATTTTTATCTCTTTGCCCTTGTCTACAGTGTGCGAAGAACGCGAGTTCACCTTCTTGACGATAAGGCTTATGTTAAATGTGTTGTCGAAATACTCATATTCATTGTACATTGGTACATTACAAGTAAGGCACTGGTCAGTGGCATACTATCGTTGGCAGTTCCCAATCTGGAGGGAAAGGTTCAAGGACCCATTGACCGAGTTTGCAAAATAAATTCGCATATCAGGGAAAATCTCCATTGTGGAGAGGTTCAGTAAACTTGTTTGCTTCATACGAAACAAGCCAATGGGTGCAGTCTCGTCTCGTGAAGATCTCGTACTTGTATGATTGGATTTGTTTCCTCGAGTCTGGGCTGTTTGATTTATTATTTGTGAGTACCACCGAGATTGCACTGCCCCAAATAAAGTTTCGTGCCGCCAAAGCAAGAATGTGCTGTACATGTATCGTACTTTCTCTGTTGCTGTTTCAGTTGCCGTCATGTTGCTAAAGAAGCGTTCAGTAGAGAGGTTCTGCAAAACGAAAATTCGAACGAAGTTTCGCGACAGTCTTTGCGAAAGTGTGTACGGATTTTTGCACGAACGTTGCGTTCTGCACATTTTCGTAGTTTGCGCGGGCCAAGTGCACGTACGCCATGACCCGATCTCACGAAAGTGTGTACGACTGTTCATTTCGTGTTCCCTGCAAGTTTCGCGTCCAGAGTTGCGAAAGTTCGTGCGAAGTTTCGCACTTCATGACGTGGAACGAAAGTTTGTACGCATTTTCGTTTTGCAGAACCTCTCTAGTGACTCTTTATTTTGTTTCATACGAGACGAGTCAATGAGTTGGTGTGGCTTAGAATCTTTCGCTGTAGAAGAAATCTATTCATATGTCTATTGGAGAAATAATTGTATTCACTGGTTATAAAATAGGTTAAGACAAACTCACAGAAGAAATACCATCGGTCCCTTGGTGTTCGTCCTAAAGAGGTTCGACTGGATATCATTCACACTCACCAGAAGATGTGTAAGATTTTATTATTATGGAGTGCCTTGTTTATCTCTCAGTACCTCCAACCATAGCCTTGCCCCTTTTATCCTCAGGATCAGTGTAGTTGTTGGAATGAGGTGTTGGACTCAACAATGTATTTGTTTACATTTTAATACATGTTTATTGTTCCTCCTCTGCTGTGTTGTTTTAGAAAATCGTGGACTAACAGTTTGAAGTCATTGAACTACTTCCAAAAGTTGTATCGACATCAACAGGATTACGATTTCAGTGCAATATGATGCAGGATGACCTTATCACGATAACCCATGATTATAAACCATTATAAACACAGAATCAACAAAAACATCTGCGACACGCACCTGGTTACATTTCACAAATAAATCTGATCGAGGGTGGGGAAATCTGAAATATCTGAAAGGCAAGACAATTTTATGACAGAGTCATGAAATTCTGCTACAGCAACATGCACAGAATGACCTCTGTATAAAAAAAAAAGTATCACCACGGTCCACCACTACTCACATGTTTCCCCGCAGAAGAACATTATTATTATTATTATTATTATTTTATTTATTTTACTAGGGTGTTTCCCACAGACCTATGGTCTTCTTACGGGAGCCCCTAGAAAGGTTAAGCATGAACGAACAAATGGGCGATATTCTGTACAAGAGCGAACAGTGGAAGGCAGCATATTCCACCGATCAGAACCTATGTAGCCAAGACGAGAAAAACCAGCTTTAGTGTGGGCATGCATTATGCTAGTGCCATTTTCTGCAAGAAAAGGCTTGCACATCAATGCGTATAATACGGTATTGATACGATGTGAAGGCCATCATTTACATATTGATATACAAGTTGTAGGGCATTCCATTGATATGATTGGTGACAGAAAAAACAAAAGAAATTATAGCAATAAAAACTGCTTTATGGCAGTTTTCTAAAAAACGTTATTGTGTTCTAGTCCATGGACCCCGTCTAAAAAGTAAGAAATTAACGAAATGTGATAGCTGAAAATTAAAATTTCACACAAAACCTCACAATAATCACACACAGAATGAAAAGCTACATGAAGAAGACCTTTTAACCTCGTGATCCTCTTTCCTATGCATGCATGTTGCCAATTGTTGTTGCACTACGAGTTTAGTGTTGAAAGCAGCATTTCAAGTGTTGTGATTATTGTGAGGTTTTGTGTGAAATTTGAATTTTCAGCTATCACATTTCGTTAATTTCTTACTTTTTAGACGGGGTCCATGGACTAGAACACAATAACGTTTTTTAGAAAACTGCCATAAAGCAGTTTTTATTGCTATAATAGTACTTGAAGTCACCGTTCCCATTACGTCATGTACATTTACATACACCCTGTAGAAGCACTGAAACATCGGTTTTCGGCGAATTCAACATGCGAATTTTTGAACATTCGGCGAAAAGATGGGTAATTTCTTCAAAACCACTGTTTTCGGTGAATTTTTCGCCCGGCCGATTAGGGAAATGCCTACTATCCATGCAGGTACATTAGATGCATATTTCTATTTTGATCGGAATTCAGTTAGAATCAACCGGCTACGCCCGGAGTATCATGCATCAAAACAATTATTGAAGGGGTGTCACAGTGAAGCAGTGTTGCTACGCACCACAAATCCCCTCTGCCCTGCACCGAATTTATACTGGAGAATCCAGAGTGACCAGCAAAGAGTCACAACCCGCGGGTATCCAGTCACACTAAGGCATGTCCACCATTCCCCACATATTCACTGTAACAAAACACAATACTGTTTACTATAATACACTTTTATTTAAATGGACTTGGATGAGTCTGTAGAAGAGAACACAATGCACGCACACGCACGCATGCGCGGACACACACACACACACACACACACACACACACAAACACACACACACATCTAGGTTATAGTGCTATACACGTATCTAGGGTTTAGGAAGCACGAGAATGTGTCGAAGCACCCGCACATACCCCTTCATGCAGTGTACTTCAGTAGCCCAACACATTACGACCGCTCAGGACCATCACAAAACACATTACGACTGCACTGTTACTACACTACACACACAGTTACTACACTACGCCTGTTACAAGTACTTACAAATAATTTTGAAAACAAATGGCACATCCCGAAGACGGCAGCTAGCTCCAGACCTTCATACATACATCATCATCATCTGTAAAACCAAGCATGAGCGCACACAAACACTATTAGTGTCACGAATACGGAAGCAGGGTAAGACAAGAGGATACGAAACAAGTAAGTATCGCTATAACGAGGGGGATACGTATACATGTAGACAGAGCAGTGCTTACTTACAGGGTCCTGATACGCTCCATGGCGTCCCGGTAGTCGGACTGCAACAGCAGCCCGACCTGCCGGCCCTCCCAGTAACGGGCTCGATGGGCCGCACCCGCCAGGTGTGCGGCCACGGCTTGGCCTCCCACCAGCCTTTCTCCACTGTAAAAACGAAAGAAACCGCAGAAAGCACAGTGTCATAGAGCTCTTTTGTTGGGGGAGAGAGCTAGGAGCACTGCACACTTACCAAGTATCACAATATATGATAAGAAAGAGGCGGCGCTTGACGCACCGCCTCAGGTGCTGAAACAGGGGTATTACCCCTGTAAGGCGAACACCGCAATGACACGTGAACGTCATTTCTACAGACTGTTTTTCAGGATAATGATACTGAAGTGAAGGTGTGAACCGCAAAGCAAGACCTTTACCTTCTTCCTGTCGAATCCGCTACCCAGCTGCATACCGACATCACCCGCTAAAACCCAATCATACCAAGTAACGCAAAGGTCATCAGTTGACCTTTTGGACTTTTCAACTCTTATCCAAAACCACCAAGAGGAAAAAACCAGGATGAAGAAGACGTCAGTTGTAGAAGCGTTTGTGGAGGAGTTGTTACATTATTCTCAGTAAATAGATATGGCTGATACATTCGGTGTAGACGTGGACGACCGGTCGTGGTCTCTCACCACGGGTCCTTTACTAATAGAAAGGCGGACGCCAATAAGAACTGTTGTGGAGTTGGCAGATCAAAACGCGCAGCAAGAAATTTGGCACGTCGATGGTAGACTCCATCGGGAGGACGGACCAGCTCTTGTTGATAGTAGGGGAGTGTCCGCCTGGTGCTATGGAGGTCGCCTTCATCGCGTCAATGAACCTGCTTGGATAGGACGGGGTAGCATAGAGTACTACCTCAACGGCGCCCGTCATAGAGCCGGCGGTCCTGCAGTCAGTTATTATGACGCCACATGCGGTATTCTACGGTGGTATCACCACGGAAGACTCCACAGGTATGATGGCCCTGCAGTGGAAACATTTTCAGACCTTGGTGAAGACTCTGAGGGGTTCTACCGACACCGCGAAGAGTGGTATTGGAATGGCGTCAGACAAAGGATCGGCGACGGCCCTGCTCTGACGGAGAGATTTGATGGCGCCTATTTGCTGGAAGCCTGGTATGTCCAAGGGCGTCTACACAGAGTAGACGGACCAGCCAGGATCACTCGGAGTGATGATGGTATCACCATCCAGTGGTATTATCACGACCGGCTCCACAGGGAGAATGCGCCAGCCGTGATACGCAGGGAAGGTAACAACCGTGTACGGGAGTGGTACCGATACAACCTTCGGCATAGGGAAGATGGGCCTGCTTTCATCTCTCAGGAGGAGGAGGGTATCTATCAGTGGTACCTCAACGGGGTGTATTACGGTGACCACCATCAAGACCAGGCAATACACCCCATGGAGCTGCAGTACATCAATGTAGTGCCTACTAAGGTAGACTCGTCAGCAATAAGTCATGAGTCCATTTGTGTGATTTGTCAGGATACCCTGGACCGTCCTCTATCCAAGTTGGAGTGTGGTCATGAATTTCACTTCCACTGTATCAAGGAGTGGATCAGTTCTGCCCCCAGCCCAACTTGCCCAACCTGCCGCTACTCCATGACTGCTGAGGACTTGGTTGAGTTCTTGTAGTAATACATCACACAGTTGCATGTAGGCGACTACGAATGACCAGTCATGTGCTACAGACGGACACGGACATGCCACCCTAAGTAGCCATGAGCGGCTATTTGGACAAGGGCAACAAAGCACCCCGTGGGCAGCCAAGGTTGACACTAGCCACAAGTCTGGTCGCTCAGTTGAATAAGCTGGGTGTGCCCATGAAGACCATGGAAGACCTTTCCAGGTGTCGGCAACAAGCAGAGGACAAGACAGACTGGAAGAAACTGTGCAGCTCGACACTCGAGGACAAATCAGTATCGGCAGCTACTACACCTTGCTGATGATGCTCACAAGACAGAAGTGGGAAAAACACTGAATTTCTTTATTTAATGCTCAACTACACGAAATGTGTTATTATTATTATACATATTCAACTGTACTCAGTCTGGCTGACTGCCATTCTCTACCACACATTACCGGACACTGTTGTGGGTGTTGTCGTTATCGTCGTCGTTGTTGATGTTGTTGTTGTTGGTTGTTGTCGTCGTTATCGTCGTCGTTGCTGATTTTGTTGTTGGCTGTTGTTCTCGGTTGTTGTCGGTTGTTGTCGTCGTTTGTTGTTGGATGTTGCTGGTTATTGTTGGTTGTTGTTGGTTGTTGTTGGGTGTTGTTGTTGGTTGTTGTTGGCTGTTGTCGGTTGTTGTCAGGTGTTGTTGGTTGTTGTTGGTTGTTGTTGTTGTCGGTTGTTGTCGGTTGTTGGGTGTTGTTGTCGGTTGTTGGGTGTTCTCAGTTGGTTGGTGTTGGTTGTTGTTGGTTGTTGTCGGTTGTTGTCCGTTGTTGTCGGCTGTTGCTGGTTGTTGTTGGTTGTTGTTGTTGGCTGTTGTTGGTTGTTGTTGGATGTTGTTGTCGGTTGTTGTCGGTTGCTAGTTGTTGGTTGTAGTTGGTTGTTGTCGGTTGTTGTTGGTTGTTGTCGGTTGTTTTCGGCTGTTGTCGGTTGTTGTTGTTTATTGTTGGCTGTTGTTGGTTGTTGTTGGGTGTTGTTTGGTATTGTTGTCGGTTGTTGCCGGTTGTTGTTTGCTGTTGTTGGTTGTTGTTGCCGGTTGTTGTCGGTTGTTGGGTGTTGTTGTCGGTTGTTGGGTGTTGTTGTTGGTTGGTGTTGGTTGTTGTTGGTTGTTGTTGGTTGTTGTCCGTTGTTGTCGGTTGTTGTTGGTTGTTGTTGGTTGTTGTTGGCTGTTGTTGGTTGTTGTTGGTTGTTGTTGTCGGCTGTTGTCGGTTGTTGGTTGTTGTTGTTGGTTGTTGTTGGCTGTAGTTGGTTGTTATCGGTTGTTGTTGGTTGTTGGATGTTGTTGTCGGTTGTTGTCGGTTGTTGTTGGTTGTTGTTGGTTGTTGTTGGTTGTTGTTGGCTGTTGTTGGCTGTTGTTGGTTGTTGTCGGTTGTTGTCGGTTGTTGGGTGTTGTTGTTGGTTGTTGTCGGTTGTTGTCGGTTATTGTGTTTTAATCATTATTTTGTTCATTATCCAGGAGGATGTTGCTATGATCCAATACTATTTTTTCGCATATATGAGACAAGTTTGTGTAGCGTTAGTGTGACGTGGGGTATGCTGATTGGATGTGAGGTGGTGAGAGTATGCTGATTGACCGATAACAATTAGTGGAAGGGATAAAGTAATGCACTGCTTGTGCAGCGTAACCAAACACATGGTCTGTGGGAAACACCTTAGTAAAATAAATAAAATAATAATAACATGAATTGCCACCGGCACTTGAGAGACTCGAGCCTCGCCGCCTTGTTCAAATCGGACTTGGTAGCTTCGTACTGGAACTTAATCTTCTTCTTTTTGAGGTATGACCGTACAAAACGCGCTTGGATTTTTTCATTTATTTTATTTTATTTTTTTCATTGCAACATTTTTAGCAGATGTCCACTCGTGAAACAAAGGTGAATCTGGAACGAATAAATGGTCCATGTCAAAGGCATGACGAGTCTCGAAGTCTTCACATTCACGATGGAACCTTGTCATGATTGACGCATTCCTTGATGGTGCGCACATGAAATCACCCTGGCTCATCTTTTCCAACTCCATTCTTTTCACATCCTGCAACCCATACCCTACTAGTATCAGTGGGGACGCTAGAATCAGAAGAGGCAAGGCAGCACTCTTCCGTGGATGTATTACTCGACACAACACCACCCATACTTGTTTTCTAGAAGTTTTGACTATAATGATATATTGCAGCAGGAAGTAGTATACAGTCAAATAGGATAGGATAAGAATGAATGATCAACTGTCTGATAAAGAATGCAGTTCATTTAAAAAGACTTATTGGAAGGTCTCTACCAGCTGATCGTCATGTTGGACGGCGACACTGCATAATGATATGAAGCTCTCAGTTAGCTGTTTCAGTTCCGTGGTAGAAAGTGTCATGTGTGCGTCCAAAGAACGATGAAAACATCTGGGGTCCACGTTAATGCAGACGATTGGAGCAACAGCAAGACGTACCTTCAACGCTTGCTCGTCAATGTCGAGGGAGACTGCCCCGGGGTAGATGAAAACATCTTGTTCCACATCCAGTTCGAACCAGCTGGTCGGGACTAGCTTGCTTTCACCGTTGATGTACACCCGACATTGACCGTAGGACGAACATGATGGGTAGAAGTTGGTCTTGATCTTCTCCACACGTCCTCTTCGGAGAGTGTCACGGAGCGATGGACAAGTCTTGATCAAGTTCGTAATGATGAACTCAGTGGACTCATTCAGTTCGATGTAAACCTGTCCTTGAGCATCTTTGCGAGCTGTTGCCGTACTACCACAGGCTGGTAGAGCTCCTGAAGGGAAGTACATCTTATAACCAGGCTTGTAGAAGGATCTACCTGATGACTTGTAGGACAGTTGCATGTCCTCCTGAAACCCATCTACCACAATCTCTTTGTGGAGCTTGGTAGGAGCAGGTGACACATAGCGACGCTTAGCCGGTACTGCCTTCGAAGAGAGCACAACTTGAGGAGGGTCAGCAGGAAGAGCGGAATTCTTCCTCTCCCGCCGCTCGTATAGGTTATCCATCTTCCAGGAAGCGAAGGGAGAACAACTCATCAGCACTGTATTCGATGAACGAATGACTCGACTACAGGACAACCACCCGTATTTATACAAGGCAGAGACGGAGGCGGGTTGAAGTGATAAAATATGTGTCAGCTAGGTCAACCAATCACCATCAAGCCCGCCAAAAACATTTGACCACTCAGCATTGAGCCCACCAAAAACATTTGACCAACCAGCATCAAACCCGCCAAAAGCATTTTGTCCAATCAGCGGCATGCCCACCAAAATCATATCTCATCTTAAAGATTCCTTACATGATACCGCCACTTTAGTGAACTGATACAGTATGGAAATAAGATCAGAGTCAAACGTGTGCAAGTTCTGAATCACGTGATCAAGTGAATAGGTTTTCCCAACAATAGGCATCAATCAATGATACCATAAGAGATGTATCAGAT